TGGATCAGAGTTTTAATATTTTTCATTTATACATAACTTAATTTATACATTTCTTAAGTATTAAAGATAACGTTTACTTCGTGAAAGTGCAAGTATATGTGTCAATCAAACGCGTGCCGAAATTCGTAATTTTTAAATTTCCAGACAAAGTTTCTAAACACCGATCTATTACATTTCGGTGTGAAACATTCTAGCGACATATTAGACATAATATTATATCGAAAATTTTAGAAAAAAAATTTCTGCCCCTCTAGCACAAAATTCCAGCCCTCCGTCGGCAATTGATAGCGTTAGGAATTTACGATTCTTGGATGCCAGATTTAAATGGCCTTATTAAAGGCCGCACACTAATACATCAGAAAGCTGTACCATGAATCAATTCTAAAGATGTCAAATTATTTGCAAGGTTTCATATTGGGATATTTTACTAGAAAAAGAATTAATGGTAACCTAACAACTTTACTTTATAATAAACTTGATGACTTCAACTTTTCTATTGTCAATTTCCCTTAATTATGTAGCAATATACCTTTATCACCTGCATATAGGGTTTATGTCTCCCAGTTGATTCGATACGCAAGAGAATGCTCTATGTACGAGCAATTTCTAAATTGAGGCAACAGTCTCGTTTGAAGACATCATTTCGCGAGTTCTATGGTCGATACAATGACCTTATTAGCAAAAAACTTCTACCATTCAGTCCAATGACTTTTTTCATACTATTTGATAGGTCATTGTTTACACATCGAATTTCATCATTACAATGACAATGAGCACACGGCGGGTGAGACCGATGACAGGGGATGCTTACTCCTCCATGGCACCTGATCCTAGCTCTGGTATTTTTAGAGGTCCGTGTTTGCTCTGCTCCCGAATTGTATTGTTTCAATGGACTTTTGAGCTTGAATACTATTCGTTATCTCCATATTTTATACACAATATTACATGTACGAAAGCCTATTAGGATCAAACTATGGTAAAAAAAAATTAAAGGCGTTATGAAGTCTTTTCAAAAGGTGTTATTACGCGAAAAAAGGCGTAATAACGACTTTTGAAAAGGCGTTATAACGCGGAAAAAGGCATAATAACGCAAATAAAGGCGTAATTACTCCTTTCCAAAAGGCGTTATAACGCCAAAAAAATGGGTTAAGTACGCCTTTCCAAAAGGCGTTATTACGCCTGTCTAAAAGGCGTTATTACGCCTTTTAAAAAGGACTTAAACAAAGGTGTAATAACGCCTTTCTTAAAGGCGTTATTACACCTTTTAAAAAGGCATTATTACGCCTTTCCAAAAGGCGTTATTATGCTTTTCCAAAAGGCGTTATTACGCCTTTCCAAAAGGCGTTATTACGCCTTTTAAAAAGGCGTTATTACGCCTTTTAAAAAGGGATTATTACGCCTCTCCAAAAGGCGTTATTACGCCTCTTATTTTTCAATACATGGTTTACTTAGCAAACCCTGGGGACTGATTATACGAGAATTAGATTTCCAGGGAAAAATTTTTTAAATGTGTAAAATATTTTCAGTTTTAAACCAACTAAGTCCTTCTCTGATGCCAGACACCTCTACCAAGGTGTATGAATTTCAGAAATTTGGTTGAAGCTAATTGCTCATTATACCTATGCAAATAGTTTGTCTGTTTTTTTTCCAAGAGGAGAGAAAAATATTTCAAATTTGACATGAATTTTTAATACATGGCTAGCAAAGCCCAAAGCTGGCTCTGCCTATATCCTGGATTTTCAAAAGTAGATTGTTGACTTCTCTTAATACGCATGTAAACAGCTATCTGCGAAATGTGCAGGAATATAGAAAATACTATAAATTATAATATAATTTATAATATTAAAACTATAATCTAAATATTGCATAAATAAAGATGGCTTTGGTTCAATCTTTCGCTTATTTATTATTTTAAAATAACGCCTTTCCATTTTTGGATATAACTCCTTTTCAAACAGGCCGGTAGTACGAATGCGAGTGGGGGGTAAGGGGGGGGGGGGGTCCTCCTACCCACTTTTTAGAAGAATAGTCTTGCTATAGTTTAAATATAAAAAATGATTTATTGATTGCTTGGTCCCTTAACATTTTGTTGCAGTATGGTTAAACTCGGGCAATTTAAAAAAGTTTTACCGAAAAGTTCGAAAATGATTCCCCTCAAGTTTAGGCAGTTTATTTTTTCGGGGGGTGGGGTTGTTTCTTCTTTTTTTTTAAGATACCAATTTTTATGGTAGGCCCCCCCTTCAAAAGCACGGATCTGTCAAAGACATAATACTGGCTCTTCAAAAGGCATAATAAAGCCTTTTGGAAAGGCGTAATAACGCCTTTTCAAAAGGCGTAATAACGCCTTTTAGAAAGGCGTAATAATAACGCCTTTTGGAAAGGCGTGATAACGCCTTTTGGATAGGCGTAATTACGCCTTTTTTCGAGTTATAACGCGTTTTGAAAAGGCGTAATTACGCCTTTATTTACGTTATTATGCCTTTTTCCGCGTTATAACGCCTTTGCAAAAGGCGTTATTACGCCTTTTGAAAAGGCATTATAACGCCTTCTAGATTTTTTTTTACCGTAGTTTGATCCTAATAGACTTTCGTATAAATGGAACCAAACTACATCTAAAAAAATTATTAAAAATGCCTTGAAGACACGATTTTATTTTATTAAATCAATTAATATGTGGGAATGAAAAACTAACCTCTATTATGCATCGGTCATAAATTTATTTTAAAGATTTTAAAAGATAAACTACATGTAGGTGCCTGGTTATGATGACCATGGGTGTTTCTTGAAAAAAAAAAAGTGAAATTTGTGGCCCTAGGATCAGGAGTTCTGGCGTTAGGGGGAAAGCTCTTATGATCATAAGTGAAAAGGCATAAATTCTAAAAAAACAAAAAAAAAATCTTATCCTCTCCTCCTGTTTATTTAGAGCATAACCTAGGTGCATGGTTATGATGAGCAGGGATGCCTTTTCCAAAATTGTGAAATTTGTGGCGTCAGGGCTATGGTCGGGCTCTAATGATCGTACAGTGAAAATGCATAAAAGCTTTTAAAGTAATGTTCTGTTACCCTGTATACATGTATTTAGAAGATAAACTAGGTGCCTGATAATGATGAGCTGAGGTGCTTCCAAAATTGTGAAATATGAGGCCCCAGGGTCAGGGTTCTGGCGGGCCTTTAATGATCATATGGTGAAAATGTCTTAATTCTTTCCCAATCGTTTTCTTTTACCCAATATGTTTATAAGATACACTATGTGCCTGGTTATTATAAGCAATTGTGAAATTTGTGGCCTCAGGGTCGGGGGTTTCTGAAGTTAGGGCGGTGGTCTAATGATCATATAGTGAAACTATAAATTCATTGATAATCTTCTTCTCCGCTCCTAGGTATTGAGCAAACAATCAAACTAAATGCATACTTGTAGTATGACTAGCAAATGTGCCTCTTCCGATTGAGAAAGCAAGCTTAAGAAAGAAGAAGAAATATGGAGAAAACGAACAGTATTCAAGCTCATTGTCCTTTCAAACAATACAAATGGGGAGCAGAGCAAACGCGGACCTTTAAAAACATAGGTGGGATCAGGTGCCATGGAGGACTGATCATCCCCTGCCAACCGGTCACACCCGCCGTGTGCTCCTTGTCATAATTGGGTAAAACGGACAAATCAGTGTGTTTATAATGGCGTATAACAATTATTATGAAAAACGTCAGTTAGCATTTGACTTAATGATAGATTGTAGTTGCTGACAAGGTTATTGTATCGACCATAAAAATTGCAAAATGATGACTTCAGACGAGACTGTTGATGTCCTTGTCTCATCAACTTGTTTATCAAAAGCTTGCTTAGTTTTAGAAATTGTTTAGAGAATGCTCTTGCATATCGAATCAACTGGGAAACAAAAACCCAATATGAGTAAGGGAAGCTAACGATTGAAAAATTGGAGTCATCCCGTTTGTTATAGAAAAATGCAATTTAGCAGTTTTGATCCATTGTACACATAATAACACAGGTCAATATGGAAACCCAAATCCTGTTTAACATTGTCTTTTTGAATTAATTTTGATAAGTATCATTATCACACACAATTTGACATTTTGAACCACTGATATATTATAAGAAGCTTTAAGCTTACGGTCATGGCTCCTTTGTGTTTTTGTACCGATCTACTGACCCGATTCTAAAGAAAAAGGTTTAAAAAGAAAAGAAGAAACAAAAAACATCACATATGTATAGAAAATATAAATTTTATGATGTAATTCAGTGAGAGGGAATGGTGATAGTTTAAACATTAAAGGCATTTAAGTATAGTTAAAAACATTTAGACCTCCATGCTTTTGTGAACAATTAAATTTACATTTTGGATATATCTGTATATATTACAATGTCGCAAGCAAAGTATATAATGGTTTTTGCAATTTTGTTATATTCATCATATATAAATATTTTTAAAATTACTAAGTTGCTCCCTTTTCCAAAATAGCTGCTTTAAAGTCAGTAGGTTTCCTATGAACTAGGTTTCCACAGTACACATTTTTAATAGAGAACCATTCGCGCTGAGGTGTATTCAAGCGTAAATTTCAATTTAAATAATTGAAATTTGGCTTCACTCGGGGTTGTTTCCCGAATAAAGCCGACAATATCTTTTTCAGTACATGCTGACAACTATCAATTAAAAGACATATACATGTAGAAGACACTCTAGTTAAACGGTGGCTATTTCCAGAACAAAGCTCTTGGACAACTTAGTTCATTGTATGCCTTTTTGCTTTAAGGATGTTATTCGTGCATAAAAGGGAGCAACTAAGTACTACAATGTTAGTTATCATTTGTTAATAGAAAATGTTCATGAAATTGCATAATTACCTATATCTTATTTTTGCATCTTAAAGATTGTTTCTAATCATAAAATCAATGAGAAACTACATGTATTATACATTATTATCAAAGCTTATTATGCAGGATACATTATTCACTGATAAAGATAAATCGTTTTAAAATGTACTTGCTAACTAAACAAAAGACAGAAATAGTATTTCCAAGAAGCTTTGTCGTGTTGATCGCAGCTATCATCATCATCAGTTTTTCTTGCTAACAAAAAGAGAAAAATAAAGGTGTTAAGAACCATTCTCTGTAATGTTAAGGTTTGAACTTTTAAAAGAAGCTGTGGCATACATGTACATGTCTCAAGGAATTATGTGTATGACTACAATGTAGGTTTTGAACAACTCATATTTTTCTTGACAAGTTTTTCAAAATAATTTACTAAATGATTCAAAACAAGAGCCCATTGGACACAATTCTCACCTGAGTCAATATCGCCCTATCGTTCTTCATCAGCAGTTTTCCCTGTTATGTAAAACTTTAATTGTTGGCCCACCTTAACCCCGGGGGTTATGATTTGAACAAATTTGAATCTACACTACCCGAGGATGCTTTTAAATAAATATGACTAATCATATGCATGCTTCTGTCATTCGTAATAAGATTTGTAAAGATTTTTTTTTTAAATTTCTATTCCTATGAAAATCTTTGAATGCACGTTGTGGTCCCGTTCTATTCCCGGGGGTCATGATTTGAACAAACTGAAAAATATACTTCTTGAAGATGATTTCATATAAATATGACCATTGATGTCTTGCTGTTCTTCGAAAGAAGATTTTTTTTTTATATGTTCCTATGTAAATTTGTGGCCCAACCCTACCTCAGGAGTCATAATTTGGATTAACTTGCATTTTCATTTTTTTAATGAACCTATCAATTAAGTTTCAACTCTTCTGGCCCGGATCCATAAGAAGATTTTTTAAAGATTTTTTTCCCCAGTTTATTTCTATGTAAAACTTTGTCCGCCTATTGTGGCCACACCCTTCCCCCTGGGGTCATGATTTGAACAACTTGAACCTTCTCCATGTAATGACTTTCATATTGGTTTCAAGTCTTCAAGCCAGGTGGCTCTTGAAATGTTTTTAAGCTTTCCCAATATATTCATATGTGAAACTTGATTTGCCTATTGTGGCCTCACATTCCTCCTCGAGTCTTGATATGAACAAACATGAATTTAGAATTCAGAATTAATCTGAGAATGCTTCTATATTTATATGACTTTAGAAAACGATTTTAAAAGATTTTTCCCTCTATATTCCTATGTTATCTTTCACTGCTAATTTTGGCCCCATCCGAATCCCGAGGGTCATGATTTGAACAAACATGAATGTGCATTATGTAATGAAGATTTCACTTAAATTTCAACTCTTCTGGCCAAGTGGTTCTACAGAAGTCAAGAAGAATGTTAAGATTGTTCCCTGTATATTTAGATTTCAAGTCTTCTGGCCCACTGGTTCTTCAGAGAAAAAAATAGATGATATTTTTCAAAAAAAATCTTATGATCGCATTTTACATGTAATCGCCTATTGTGGCCCAACTTCGATACTGTTGCTGGGGTAAAAACTTTAAGGTTAGTCTGTAACATGCGTTCTAAATTATCAATATATTATCAAATTTGAAACAAGATGAAATCTGATGGATTTATAGCTGAAAACATGACAGAGGTTTGCTTAAATTGCTTATATGTAGCTTTAGAATTACAACTTCGTTCTTTGTGTTGCAGTTCAGTCCTGCAGAAATATTAAACATCTGTATGATGCAATTGACTTTTTATCTCACCACAGGCTCCTGGTTTAAGTTCAATGTCATCTAATCCCATCCCCTGGTATCCTTCTATTGCTTCTATTGTAATCTGTGTAATAAAAGAATCAATATACTACATTTTTAGAAATTTGTAAAGAGGCCTTAAGGTCTTAACGGTCACCTGGGTATAGGGGATATATATAGTATAAAATTAACTGTTAAATGAAGCTTTGTTGCCCAAAAAGAAAGAGGAATAGGATGATCAGGATCAACGAAATAATTAGTCTAATATTCAGTAACAACTCATGCATTAAATTCTAATCTGCCCCTCCCCCCATTTATCACTGTCACCATGCTAACTAACTAACAACAAATTAGTGCTTTTGTATTTTTTTAAACCTCATATTATACTCTATCGCATTGGCCTCTCTTGGTCTTTGAAGAAAATTAAATGTTATTTTTGTCTCATTTATTATTTATCTTTTATTTACAGGTCTACCTGATCATAAAACCTATGAAAGTACATTTTGTTTTAGGCAATAAAAATGTTCATATTTTCTTTAGACAATATTCCTTTCAAATGAAATATAAAGATAACGAACAGTATTCAATCTCAAAAGTCCATTTAAATAATACAAATTGGGAGCAGAGGAAACCTGAACCTTCAAACACATCAGAGGTGAGATCAGATGCTATGGAGGTGTGAGCATCCCCTGTCGACCGGTCACACCCACCGTGTGTTCCTTTGCAGTACATTTACATGTAACGTGCCAAATGAAAATATCGGCGAATTTTTTAGATAGAAAATACATTCTTTAAAAGGATGGCCGATTCTTTTGAGGACTTAACTATTACCGGACAAATGTAATGTGATTGAAAAAAACATTTTGAAGACGATTAGATTTCTTATTTAGACTTGTCACGTGATTTCAGCATATATATCTGCAGTATTGAGGTCATCTATAAATTCCAATATTGCAAGGGCATAACCAAGTTAAAAATCTAAGTTAAATTAATAATTATTTTCAACACTCTTTGTAGTTTGTGAAAAGTGCTGCGAACCTACATAGATTCTACTATCTAATTGCTAAAATTACATTTCTTAGACCGCATAGAAAATACTTTGCTGGTCAAGTACATAAAATATAGACATAATTTATTTGCAAGATTTCATCAGGTTCGCAGCACTTTTCAAATATCTTCACACTTATTGAGTTTATGTGTTTGTATGTTGTTTAACGTCACTCTCGAGAATTTTTCCACTTGCCGGTGGAGAGCTGCAAATTTTGTCCTATACTCGGCACTTACGGCCATTAAGCAGTGAGGAATCTTTTTCGTACCAACACCTACTGCGACACGGGACCTAGGTTTATACGGTCTCATCCGAAAGACCGGTCTCAACGTCCCACAGTGGGATTCGAACCCGCGACGTAAGGATCAACTCCTTACTCCGCGACTCTAGAGCAGACGTTCTAACCACTGCGCCACGCGGGCGACTGCGTTTGTGTGTACAAGCTTGGCATAATTCATTGAGGGTATGCCCTTGCAATATATCGATTTATTACGACCCTTCTATTACCCCTCAATGAATCTTTATACAAATATACGGCAGTATCGCTTGTCTAGGGGATGTACGGGAAGTATATGAATAAAATCATAAAACAGACATCGCATGCAAGCTAATGACCTTTTATATATCTGCAAATATTACAAAATATATTTTTCATTGTATAAAGCATAACTTGTTCCGCCTCTCACTGCATACAAACTGGGTCAAATTTTACGATATGACGTCACATTGACAAGTGCATTGCGATCAATGAATTCTTTATATATTGGCCTAGGGCTGGGACGATATATTGAGATAACGATAATATCGATTCTGTGTGAAGACGATACGCATATCGATACATATGAAAAAATATCGAAATATCGCAAAAGAATTTCTGACTTTTGTTTTTCTTCGTTTACTTAACATTTTGGGTTTAATATATAAAATAAATATACTAAATATGAATATAAATATGAAATACATAATAATTATTACCACTTGGGCCAAAATAAAAATACCTTTGTTTCCCCTAGCGCGACCGACCCACTTAAATCGTGCCGACTGAAAAGTTTTTATGATAGGGTAATTTAAATATTTTTATTTATTTGTTTATCAACTTTATAGAATACAAAGCTTGCCTCATGAGCAGATGAGGGGTCCACCTTGTGAATACATATCAATAAATTTCACTGCATTTGATTCGTTTCCATCTAATAAACAGTTTTTGTATGATCCTATTTTTACTATATAGAACTACAGGAGTTGTAAATATGTCTTTGTATGATTATTTCATTTTGATAAATATAATTCAGATGGCGTTTCTTTATTCCTTTTATCTATGAGGTATTTACTCCGTGACTATAACATAAGATATACGAAACTTTAATCATGCTAGATATGGTTTGGTTGAATTATATATTGTTTATACATGTACACTCTTTCCAAATAGTGTTGAAATCTTTAAAATTTGCTTATGATACGGCTTCCTGAGACGTCCAGTTTATTTTTCTTTAGTTATGCCCTTGAAAACAGGTTGTTTCTTTGTCTTAAAATACCTTTAAAAATTGTTGGGCCAGTAGAGGACTCCTAATTTAGACTTTTACTCGGCACTGGCCACTGATCATTAAGCATCAGTAAGGGATCTTTTCGTGCCATCTACATGTATACTGCGACACTGGACCTGCGTTGTTTACGGTCTCATTTGACTGAACAGTCTCCACGTCCCACGTCGGGACCTGTGACTTAGAATAAGCTTCTGAATTACGTCGTGACTCCAAAACAAAACTAAAATAACTGCGCCACGCGAGGCCTTTGACATTTTGTCTGTGTAAGTAATCGAAGATGATGGTAGGTTTGAAAAATGTACTCGGATATTGAGTATATGCGAATCTTGTGTTTTTGTAAATATTCGATTTCAATAAATTTACGCTGGCCTGAGATATTTCACAAGTTCAAATGAAGAATATTTGTGAATTACATTACCATACATGTCATTTCATTTGCTTAATATTCGGTTTAAAAAAATGGTTTCTTTTGTTCTTTCTTATTCATAAGATATTATTCAATTTTTCAGAACGTATTTCCAAAACTGCTGTCAGAAAAAAAAATGATTTACCTACCTACAGACCCAACTTGAGACTTTTGGGTCGGGTTAGGGGAAACAAAGATATTTTTAATGATGGCCTTGTGTAAAATAATTTTGTTTTAAAATAGATATACAACTTCTTTCAATAAATTATTCTTATCTGTGAATATATGTTTTGTTCATTTCAAGACAAAAAATAGATTTTATAACCGATTCAACATATCGTGATAAGTATCGTATCTTGGCTCAAATATCGTAATACGTATCGATATAGAAAAAGTTCTCTCGTCCCAGCCCTATATATTGCTGTGTGGGATTTAACCAACGACAAAGATACATGTATTAGTAAGTATTGATGCAGTTTAAAGGTATCCAACAGTTTAAAATAGCAAATCATTTCATTTTGTGGTAATTTTAAGAACTTATATTTTCGTGTGATGTCATAGTAAGCATTTCCCGTATAAATTAGGCCCCGCATCCTTATTGTAGCCTTAACTGTGCTGCGTTGTCATGATCGAAAAAAGCCCCGGTATTGCAAGAAATTGTTGGAAGACCTAATCTCCAAAAACTACATGGATATTGTCAATCAGGAACTCAAGCATCTTTTTAATATCAACTTCAGAGTACATGTACTTGTGTGTATAATCAGAATGCTTTTTAACAAAATAATTTTGCAAATGACCAAAAAAAAAAGGTTAGTATATTAACGAGTTCCATTTTTATTAGTCCCCTACTGGTGAAACCGGAGGGGACTATAGGTTTCCTCCGAGTCTGTCCGTCCGTCTGTCTGTCCCTCTGTCAGTCTGTCCCACTTGGTTTTCCGCACTTCTTTTTCTAAACGCTTGCAGAAATTGAGCTGATTTTTTGTATGTGAGTGTATCTTGATGAGGTACAGATCAAGTTTGCATTTTGTTTCGCTTCAATGATTTTTGACGGAATTGCGACCTTTTCAATTTTTCAGGGTTTTCCGCAATTTTTTTTCTAAACGCTTGCAGATATTGAACTGATTTACGGTATGTGACTCAATCTTGATCAGTTATAGATCAAGGTTGCATTTCGTTCCGCTTCATTGACTTTTGACGGAATTATGGCAGTTTCAATTTTTCATGGGAACCAGATTACGCTTGCCGGTAGGGGACTAGTATTGCTAATGCAAAACTCTCAGAATGCTTGTTGAAAAAGCACCTGTCTATGATGTCAAAAAGACAAAAAGTCAATTTATCGTGTGGGATGATTGTATATAGTGTTGAAAAGTCATACGTATTGATGTTATTGATTTTAGTAAAATTTTGTGATTTCAAATTTTCTATAAGATCTTTGGAGTTTATAAGTATCCACATCTTATTTACACCACTTCTCGAATATACTGTTGTACAGTACTCCTGAAGTTTCTCCTTCATTACAGTATACATTTTAGTGAGGAGTAAAGCACGAGGCTTGGTAGAACATTTACTGGAACCCATTATGTATCTTTGTTTGTCAGAATTTTTATGAAGTTTAGGAATCCAATAAGGGTATGGTAATTCAAATTCATTTTGATTGTTGGGAAAATTAATATCTAAAACGGACATATGATTTTAAAGAATTTCCTCCCTAGAAAGGGAGCTATGGTTGTAAGTTGGATTTCCACCTGCAGAATTAAATCCTAGTTACTCTAAAAACAATTCAAATAATGAGCCTTACAAACAAAGACTATGTTGTTACCAGCTTTGTCTGCTGGTATCAGTACATACTGATCGTGTATTCTAATTCCTTTTTCACTTCTGAATTATTAAAGACAGAAGGATTAATAGTTTTCATACAGCCCCTCAATCGCTTAATATGAGATTAATTTGGATTAAATTAACATATTATATCAGCTTACTTTAAGACCCTTTACAGAGGGGATCGTTACTTCTGTCCTATTCCAAGATCCGACGATGATGTCAGAGGTACCCAGGGTAAGTATTGTCGTCTGTTCCTGGTTATCTCCCTTGTAGTGAACCAGAACCTGAGTGTCTGTCCCAAGGCCATAGTATTCCTCAGTGTATCCATATTTCATGCTTAAACATCTTTCAGATTCTAAAATAATAAGGCCTTCGGCTTATGAGCTGTTTCCTAACGTAAATATTATACTTTACTGGTATCACGTATGTTTTTGTATAAAGAAGAAGACACTTTGAGAGTAAAAAAAAACTGATTTAAATTTCAAGCTAGAAATCCAAATTTTGTATCATACGGTGAATGTATATAGCAACGCACAAAAAAGTAAACACTAGAAAGAAAGGGATTAAGTGGCTATACCTTAAACAATTACTTATAAGTAAATTTAATTCTACTATAGCAGAAGTATTATGGTATATCAATGAGATGTCCTGGAATTAAATTCCATTTCTAAATTATAAATGATATTTACTATAGAAAAAAAGTCATGAGAAAAGTAATTAAAATCAAAGTATTCAGTTATTTATGATAAACTATTTTCAATTATACCTTTATGTTAGGATCAATTCAATTCATTGCCACCTGCGATGGGAACTCTTGTCAATGATTTGTGTGATACCATTTTTAAGATTTGGTAAAAACTTAGGTATACCATATATATCAGAATACGTGCAGCTAGAACAGATAGCAATATTTCATCGGAGTGCCTCAGATGAAACAAGGGCAGCGCAAAGCAGAGCATCCCCTCGCAAAAAGAGCACATCAATCCCGATAAAAATCATTGCTTGTGTAACTTCCGTTACGCATTCACCCATATCCAATATATCCAATTTCGTTGCAAAGGGATAATTAAAATAATCTTACCCTCAAAATTGACAGATGTTACCAAATAAGCCTTTCCGTCAGGGAAATAGGATTGTGAATTCCTGATGACAAGATACTGGAAGCCATTTTCATTTCCAGGAAAGTTAGGATCTACAGCCTTAAAACAAGGTTACAAACAAGGTAAGTAATTTAATGATGGGAGGCATAGATAGGATCTCCTATGAATTCTGGTTGGATATGATAGTTGTGTGATAAAAACACACGAGTTGGATAAAAAATCGTATCCAACCACAAACCACGAGAGATTCTTTTTATCAGGTTTCATATATTCTATATAAAGCTATTTCATGTTTTACGCTGTTATATACCGTGGATATAAAAATATATCCCATGAGCTCCAACTGTATAAAGGAGTACAAATGATAAAAAAAAAAACTTCCACAAGATCCTATTATACTGTCTGTCTTATTTTGTAATGTCGTATTTTTTGAGAAGGACTTTATTTAGCCACTGAAATTGTCTTTATTGTACATGTTTGTGAAAATAAATGAGATCTCAGGGGGAAATGGTGGGGGACGAAATGAGAACTTTACAAAAAAAAGTTTGATTGTAAAGACTAATATATCAATATTAAAATCTTTTTTTGGTTGTAAATTCTATTTAAGTACTATGCATACATACGCTGCTGAGTATAAACTCAAACGTCGACATTTGAGTGTCTGGATGAAAAACACATGCACGGAAGTCATTTTGGAAATCACACTTTGTTTTGGCGTCAGCTGTAAAAATAATACATAAAGAATTGTTTATTATTTTTATCATTTATCTAATAAGTGATATTTCGGATTATTTTCCTATTTTTTAAACTATTAATGTAATGTGTGTTTTCTTTTTTCACTTTAAATGCATTTAAGGTTAAGTTGTAGATTTTGTTTGATCTTAAAAATTAGACATACATGTATCTTGTGCAATCTTTGTTTTTAAATCGTGTATTCTTATAAAAAATCCCACTAGAATTACAATCCCATTAAATTTTGTTTGATTAAACATTCAATATTTGTTGTCAGTGTTGTCCAAAGATTATATTTTTAAATTTGATAAAAACAGCATTCCTAGAGAGGTTTCAACAAGAAAGAGGAACAAATATTTTTTATATATAAATGCATTGAATCTACTGGATGAGCTGACAATTACATGGTCCGTAGAACACGTCGAACCTCTAAATCTAATGCTTGCAAGTTTCTGTTCAGGGGATAAAATCCGAATCCAAGCAGTTCGTTATGTCCTAAACTCCTAGCAATGGCTAAAGTCAGAAAGTTAATTAGATTTTGCGGCTGAACAAACCACTGGGGGTACAGACGCTTCGCCTACAGCTCCATTCAACATGAATTTATAGAAAAATACTCCTTAAGGTATTTTTAAATCCATAATTATAGTTTGAAAGTAGTTGAAAATATAAAATTTGCTAAAGATTTAGAGGAAGAAAATAACAACATCAACCTGAATAAATTTTAAATCGTACCCGCCAAAGTGTTGCAGTCGTTTCCAGAAAACCCATTCAAACATTCACATGTGAATCCGCCTCCAGAAATATCAGTACACTTAGCTCCATTTTTACAGGGTGAGCTGACACATCCTTTAATGATAATATACTACATGTACATAGCATTCCCCTGCGCATCAGTTTTATTTTTCTTGTACATTATTCCTTACTTTTTTTCTTTTTTAAATAACAAGCAATATTTCCCTTATTATTTTATTACGTGGTTGTGAAGTAATCGAGGATACAAACAAGGTAAATATATAACCTTCTCTTTGATTAATATATCTCTGACATTTTTGTATTACCCGACTTGACAGCTTGAACTGAGACGGAAAACCCCTTCCCTGGTGCATGGTCCTTGTGTTTCTTGCTATTGAAGCGGATCATCATTCTTGTTGGATCACCAATTATCATCTTTGTAAAGATTTCTCCTCCCGTGGTCCCGCATCTCCTGCATAAAATTGAATATTGTTAAGCTGCATAGAAAAACATACCATTCCATATCTAAGCAAAAAAGGATTTAAATCTGTTAAGCCACATAGCAAAACCTACCTTACGACAATATATTAAATTACTAATAAATTTCAGTTTATTTTTAGATACTGTATGTAAAATGTATTCCTTACTCTTTGCCTCTATCGCCAATTAGGTAGTCCCTAAACTCTAGCCAATGATAGCAATCGTTATATTCGCTATATGGGATATTCATTGACTCTATTGTGGCCTTTATACGCGTGCCAGATGGTCCCTGACAATAAGAAATTGGAAAATAATTTGTCTATGAAAACTAAATATATTTTTATAAAAAATTCTTTGTAAATAAAATTGTCACGGTCAACGAAAAAGTATTGTAGAATTGAAAGTTCATCTGTATATAATAGTGTACCATATTTCATAGGTAAGCAACAGTAAACTTCCTTAAAATTGTGCTAGGATGACACAAAATTTAATTTTAACCATCGTGCTCAATATTATCTTTGTGAGGAGCTAGAGAATTTCTTATATTACACTCAATGCAAAAATTATATATTTCAACACCCGCATAACGAAAGCCATGATCAACTTACAATCTTATAAAATTTACCTTGACAATCCAAGTGCACAATTGATCAGTCTTGTAAGAGTCCATAGCGATTGTTTTCTTTTCTGCATCACTACTGAGTGTTAGGAAACCCCCACATCCTATCAATCACAAAATTTCATTTTCAATCATATTTCCAAATATCTACATAATGTTTGAAAACAACAATAGCCTAAATTGGTGACAGAAGTTTTTCTCTTATGAATTCTGTCAAGGAGTATGCTAGACAATGTGCAAAATATTAGAACACCTTGATACTGTCGGAATCGATATACATAAAAGAATCGCAATAGATAATTTTGAGGGCAAATGCGAACTATCTTTACTTCCGTTTTCTGACTGTTAATGATGAAGAAAAAATAAGAAAGAGAATTTAATTGAAAATATATTTTGGTTTCTGCGAACAAAGCTTTTAAAATATAGTCTGTGTTTGTAAGGCTCATTATTTCAACAGCATTTTAGAAGAGCTCAGTTTTCATTCCACACCTATATTCAGAGTTCCCTTTCAAAAGCTGAATTTTTCGGAAAAAAAAAACCTTTCAGTTTTAAATATTTTAAACATTCCAGTCAATAGAAGTGAGTTTGGTTAACCGTGCCTACACTGGATTTAAAAACTTCATAAAAATCCTTGCAGCAGATTTGTTTCATGATCCATTAAATGTTCAACCAAGCCCCTATCCTTATCCTCACCAAACTACTCGTATTAACTGATATGAGGAGAAACCTCAGACGTATTGCGCAACTACATATTCAATAAGTGGTTTTCTAAAAAAGACTTCTTGGAAATGTAAAATCTCAAACTTTTCAAGTATCAAAACAAATGACTTTTCTAGGTTCTATGCAACGATAAACTTAAGAGCAGATTTTTTAAAATCATAGAAACTGTTCATAAAACAATAAGGAACTCGCAAATTTTCATATCTTGTAACTGGTCATATACAAAATCACTTTGTTAAAAATCGGTCTGATCATACAAAGAAGTACTCTAAATTGATAATAAAAAGATGTTGAATTTCCCCATTGACAATATCTATGTAGTCGTTGGAGATCAGGTCTTCAAACGATCTGTTTGAATTCCGAGTATTCTTTATTAGCCGTACTGTTTTTATATTCCTATGAAGCAAAATTTATTCAAAAACTTCTACATGAGTAGTCGACCGCGTGGCGTAGTGGTTAGAGTGTCTTCTCTAGAGTCGCGGAGTAAGGAGTTGATCCTAACGTCGTGGCTTCGAATCCCACTGCGGGACTTCAGATGAGACCGTATAAGCCGAAGTCCCGTGTCGCAGTAGGCGCTGGAACGAAAAAGATCCCTCAGTGCTCAATGGCCCTGAGCGCCGAGTATAGGTCAAAATTTGCAGCTCCCCATCGGCAATTTGTGGCGTCTTCATATGAGTGAAAAATTCTCGAGAGGTTAAACAACAAACAAACAAATCTATATGAGTATAATAAAACGTTTGCTGTGACCTTTAAGTTCGACGTTAAGATGTATGGACGATGTTAGATAAATAACATGTACTCGTAGTTACTTCCATTCATGAGTCGACTTGATATATCGCAATGCACTCGAAATTAATGACACAACAGAGTCTGCCATATCTGTTAAATATTCGAATATTTCTAATGACTGAAGACAATGAAGGTCTACTTATAACTAAACTGTATGATACACAAGGTGACTTTATCCTTTTCTATCGTCAACTTCCATTATTTATATAGTAATATTCCAGCCTTACTTGCATATGGTGTTTACGTCTTCAGACTGACTCGGTACACAAGAGCATAGTTAAATACCATAATTTTTAAACCGAGGCAAGCTACTGACAAATAAGGTGATATTAAAAGAATTTCAACACCCCCGCTTAAATTCAGCTTTTCGCAGATTCTACGATATTTAGAGTCGCCTGAATGGCGCATTGGTTAGAGCTTTGGCTCTAGACTCAAGGGGTAAGGAGTTGATCCTTACGTCGCTGGTTCGAATCCCACGTGGAGACCGGTCCTTCGAATGAGACCGTATAAACCGAGGTCGCAGTAGGTACTGCCACGAAAAAGATCACTCACTGATCAATAGCCCTTAGTGCCGTTTAAAGGTATTAATTTGCAACCCTCCACCGGCAAGTGGTGGCATCTCCAGTGAAGAATTTTCGAGAGAGACCTTAAACAAAGAACAAACGATAGTCATAATGACCTTATTTGCAAATACAGCTTACTTGTGGGTCGTATTTTGTCTGACATGTTTCATACCATTTGTTAGGTCATCGTTTTTCTACTAAAATTGACTAAGAAGTACTCAGAATACCTTATAAATGCATAGGGCACACAACAGGTGTGACCGGTCGACAGGGGATGCTTAATCCACCTAAGAACCCTATCTCTGGTGTTTCAAAAAATCTCTGTTTTTGTCCTGTTCATGATATTTTTTTTCTTGCTGGATTTATAATATTGATCGCTGTTCGTCATCTTCACATTTTGCATTCTAGTGATAATTGTATACCGTCAGTGGTGTCCAATTCGGAACAATCAGCGCCTTTCAGACCAGGCGGACATTTACACCCACAATTTCCGTCTCCTTTTATCACAACACCTCCATTTTCACATTTGTTGGTACAGCTTGCTTTATAAAAAAAAAATAAACCAATTCGATACAGAAGAACTTACATGTATTATGTACTGCAATTGTATTTTTTGGATACAGTATTTTCAATATAATTATCGTACTCTTAAACCAGTTCACTATACGACTTTGAATTAATTTATGGTCATGTGACAAATTTCAGCTTTTCAATGATACATGTATAAGCACATTCCTCATATTGAAAAAAGTATAATAGCTGTCATGTGACCTGGCTTACCAGTGCATTGATAGGCACTATTGATTTCCCCAATGTCGTATATTGTTAGAGAACTTTTCGTATTGGTGATAAGGTACTCCAAACTCATATCTGGGATGGACATCGAATTCGCTCCATTCTTTCCAAATGACTGTTAATTTTATTGTTAAACATTGATTAATTCTACTGAAAAGACTGGGTGTTCATTTTACATTTATTTGACACGTCATGTCGTCAGTCTGTATCAGAATTTTGAATGAGTCGGTCGATGGAATTTTTTGATAACTTTACTGCTGTTTTGGAGAAAAAAAGATGCTGTACACATGCATATAGAAATTTGGATCTCTGATTTTGGTTGAACTCTACCCTCCAGGGCTCAAAAATATAATAAACAAGATGTGTTTGTGAAACACTGATGCCCCCATATGGCAGCTTATGGCGAAGGTTAAAATTTCTCGAATGCAAGTCAAAATCCAGGCCAAAAGATAAAAAAAATGTTGGTACCCAAAGAAAGATCTTGTCTTGAGGAATATACCTGTGAAATTTGAAGGCCCTAGCTGCAACTGTTCAAAAGTTATGGCGAAGGTTAAAGTTTTTCAAAAGTAAGTAAAATGTCAAGGTCAAAAATTTTGGTATCCAAAGGAAGGTCTTGTCACAGGGATTACATATGTGAAGTATGAAAGCCCTAGCACCAACCATTCAAAAGTTATGGCCAAGGTTAAAGTTTTTCGAAAGTAGGTCAAACTCCTATGTCAAGGTCAAAGTGGTAGGTATCCGAAGTAATGTCTTGTCACAAGGATTACATATGTTAAGTTTGAGAGTCCTAGCGCCAACCATTCAAAAGTTATGGCAAAGGTTAAAGTTTTTCAAAAGTAGGCCAAACTCCTAGGTCAAGGTTAAAAGGTCAACGTGGTTGGTATCCAAAGGAAGGTCTTGTCAAAAGGATTACATATGTGAAGTATGAAAGCCTTAGCTCCACCTGTTCAAAAGTTATGGCCAAGGATTAAGTTTTTCAAAAGTAGGTCAAACTCCTCGGTAAAGGTCAAAGGGTAAAAGAGGTTGATATCCAGAGGAAGGTCTTGTCACAAGGAATATACATGTGAAGTCTGAAACCCCAAGCTCCTACTGTTCAAAAGTTATGGCCAAGGTTAAAGTTTTTCAAATGTAGGTCAAACTCCAAGGTCAAGGTCAAAGTTGTTGGTATCCAAAAAAGGCCCTGTCACAAAGAATACACGTGAAGTTTGAAACCCCAAGCACCAACTGTTCAGAAGTTATGGCCAAGGTAAGTCTCATAAGATTTTGCAAAATTGGGTCAAACTTCAAGGTCAAAAGGTCAAATATGATAGTACCCAAAAAAAGGTCTTGTCACAAGGAATACACATGTGAAATATGAAAGTCACATCTCCAACCAATCAAAAGTTATGGGCAAGGTTAAAGTTGACAACAGACAAACAGACAGACAGTACAAAAACAATATACCCCCGGGATTTTTCGATCCGGGGGCATAAAAAATATAAAAACAATCTACTCTACACATGTTAGTTATGTTTAATTTGCTTATTAAAAAGTTAAAGTGTGATCTTGCAACTCTTTTTTTTTAAATTTTGTACTATGTACGCCCTCTGGTCCCACCTAATCTCCAAAACCTTCATCTGAAATAACTTAAATCTAAACTACTTGAGGATGCTTGCATATTCGTCTGCCTTATCATGGCTTTACTGTTCATTAGAGAAGAAATATTTTAAAGATTTTTCCTGTATACTTTATTCATATTTGGATCTCATACTGTAGCCCGACCTTACCCCTGGAGGTATTGTACACAAACTAGAATTTACACTACCTGAGAATGCTTCCATATAAATATGACAAGAATGGCCTTGTTGTTCTTTACATTTCCGAAGATATTTTCTTTGTAACAATTTTTGTCTATTATGGCCCACACCTATCCCAAGGGGTCATGATTTTAGCAAACCTGAATTTACACTACCTGAGGATGCTTCCACATAAATATGACCAATCATGGCTTTACTGTTCTTGTGGAGATATTTCAGATTTTTTCTATGTATTTTTATGTAATAATTTTATATCCAATCTTAGCCACACTCTACCCTAAGGGATCGTGAATAGAACAGACTTGAATCTACATTAACTGAGAATGAATCCATATAATTATGAAATTCAATACAATCATGTACTTACGGCTTAGCTGTTCTTGAAAAGATCCCCCCCCCCTTTATATATTCACATATAAAGCGGATCACCTACTGTAGCCCCAGTAAATAATAATAGTAATCTGCCTAAGAGAAAATATCTTTATATCTTTTGACACAAATCAGGTAACTTCAATTTGGTTCCTTTAGAATTAAAAAAATAAAAACGTGTAAAACATTTGTTGATATTTTCTATCATATTCCCCTTCAAAATTATACATTGGTTTCAGTAACCTACCACTTTATTCGTAAATAACATTTGCATCAATCTTGCATTTAATAGATAAAGAATCATATATTTAATGTATGCGTGTTTCTATGAGAGATGAAATAAACTTCGTATTGAGATCAATTTTATATATTATAAGTAATTGAACTACCATTACAATAAATTATTATATAGGAAAAAGTGTTTGTGCAATATCTATCACAGTATACGTACATCAAGTTCATACTGCATCAGTGATTTGTAGTCGTACGGTTGCGCATTTTTTGTATTTTCCATCTCAAAATTATTCAAATATCCAGACTCGATCATTTTCCATTTCATTGACGTCATTCCTGCTCTGTCGCTGCGGGACTGTTGATGAGCCGCTCCCATTGCATGCAACATTTCATGTAAAACCGTGTGAATCTGTAATATCAAAAGAGATAATTATTTCTTTATCAATAAAATTAAAACCATAACTTGAAAAAAAAAAATGAAGCTTATCTAAATTTGATAAGACTACCATGGAACTTGAACTCTTCGGTGTATAAGTGTAGTATTAAGAGTTCCCTTAGGTATTTACAAGAAGATTTGTATAATGCACAGTTATAATACAAATGCAGTGTTTTCAGAAGGTGGACATACCGTGGTGCAACCGTCAGCCTGGATGGATAATGGTTGGGCACCTCCAATCTTTCCAACATAGGAGTAACAGCTGTAGAAATATATGTTTTAAAATCTTATATTACTTATATTTACTTATATTTTCAAACATTATCCGAAGCTTTCTCATACACAATGATGAAGAATGTAAATATTTCATTAGAAAAGTAATTTTCTTTTCATTAATAGTTAATTATAGAGAAAAGGAATATGTAGGAGATTTAATAATACATACTACTACTACTACAAAACACGTTTTTTTTATGAATTTATGAATTAAGTGGTATAGAAAGAATATATTCAAGCTTAAAATGTGGAAAGAGAGGATTACAAAATAAATACTTTAAAATCAATTTAATTCGGGGTGGGGTAGGGGGTTCGGTGTTCGTGGGCAATAAAAATTTTACTGGCTTGCGGATATAATATTTCGTGGACAACCCGTATTTACAGAAGATTCAATAAACATATACGTTGACAAAGTTACGGTTTTCTGACATATAAATTCGTGGGCGATGGTGACCCACAAAATGGTGACCCACGAACATCCCCCCCCCAACAGTGGCGATTCCCTAGAACACACCCTTTGTCATTTATAATCTTGACGTAATCGTCTTCTGATGTCCTTGGCACCCATTCTACACACGTGTTCTCTTTGAGCTGCCGTATAGCCTCTCTAAGTATGTCTTTCAGTAAGCTGAGATAATTTTCGCCTTAAAAATAATGAAAATATTCTCCTATAAAGCTGCATTTTACCCCCCAAAATAAACTATTTCCGATATTAATATCCTAAAGAAGATTGTTACTTTGAAAATGTAAACATTCTAGATATTTTTAATGACCAACGATCTTTTTTAACTACCCTTAATTTAGAAAAGTACAAAATTAACCATGAACATAAAAATATTTATTTAAGTATACAATGAGTTGTTAGTTCAAATGAATTCATCTAAAAAAGTAAATACATATTTACAGTTATGTTTAAGATGGAGTTGCCACTATACTAAACAAAATGAATACATTATGCAACACTAACTTCCGGCAAAAGTAGATTCGTCAATGACATAAGGGACTTTGCCGTTTGCCCAGACGGTGGATGTGTCCTCAAATATTCTTTTTGACGTTCTTTTGGCTTTCTAAAAATAGCATACAACACATATTGATGATGGTGATAATAATAATATTATTATAATATGATGAAGATGATGGTTAGTATTTATTTGGTAAAAGTAATAAATTTTAATTATCACTAACTAATTGAGGATATATGTCTTCTTGTTTTATATGTATGCATATTATCAATATTATTTCCTAAATTTAGCTTAATTATATTACATAGCCAAATTTTTGCGAAAATCATGAAAATGCAAGAACTATTAAGTGATGTAATAAAATAAAGATTAAAAGCATAACACCCATTAAAATATGCTTTCCCTATGCTTTGATTACTGCCGTTGAAGAAATCCTTACTCTGATTTGTTTTTGAATAATTCAAGATGAAACAGAACAGAAATTTGTACACCTTTATATTTAATTTTACTTCTACCCGAAAAAGATACAACGCCTTTTTTTTTTAATAAAAATATACTTTGACAGGTCTCAAAACATTCGTTTTTTTTTTCAGTTAATTAACCACATTCTTACCTTCAAGTGTATCGGAAGAGACCAGACCTGGGGTCAATTACTTCGAAATGTAATGCATTGAATTACAATTACTTTGGAATTTTTACCATTACAATTACCATTACTATTACTTTCATTCAGAAAAGTAATTATTTAATTAAATTACAATTACTTTGTTAAAGTAATGAATTATATTACACATTACATTTTATAAGAGAAAAACACAAATTTTATGTCCACACAATTTATCTATAAATTAACAACACTCTGTGTTCGGTCAATATGCTTTCCCTCATAGGATTGGTATTTTGGGATTCATTTATCATGTTCGTGTAGTTTACCATTTATCTACAGTTAACAAAGGTGGATAGGAACACTTTCAATGTTGTAGTTTTGTTCAGTCTCTCATGCTAGTTCTTCTGTTGTTGTTTTTTTTAAATAAATGATAATCATTTCATACTATATGTCTTAATATCGAGTGATATTTAATTAACTGATAATGCTTTAAATGTAAAATGAGTATGTATTAAAAATTCAATGAATTAGCACCTGTAATTAGCTGGGCAGGCATAATTAATCAATTAAGATATAAATTAAACACAATCAAAGATACACGGTTTGAAGTTAGAAGTGACTCTCAAGCTACCAAAAATGAATGATGGACAATATCGGTATTTACATTTGGCCTTTGTTTCCTTTTGAGTTTTGAAGTAGATCATACTGATCTTGTATCTTGCTTACCAAGTCCATTTCACCTGAATGAACTTTGTGAAAAAAAAGAATTAAGTTGAAAAATATAATTTGTATCATAATTGGTAGTCACAGTATACATGTATTGTCACTTTTTATGTGGCTTTCATTGAAACCTTATGATTGCTTTTAATATTTTTTTCTGCTCTTTTCAATCAAATTTATAACTGTCTTGTCAAGAAGTTTCCTATTAAAACAATTATTTAATATGTCTATTTCTCATCATTAAATAAACATTTTTTTTTTAAAAAATGGTAAGATATAAAATTTTAATTTTAAGACTGTACATGTAACATTAAAAATAAAAAGAATAACCTTTCAGTGACCTTGACTTGTTTCAGATACATTAAGAAAAACAGATTAAAATACCAAATATGATTGAAATGTAGTTAATAAGTAATGGTCATTACAGACATTAATTTGAAAGTAATGCATCACATTATGATTACTTGTAATTGAAAATGGATCCATTACACATTACACCAAATTACTTTGAAAAATGTAATGATTACAATGCATTACCATTACACATTACTAATACCCCAGGTCTGGAACAGACACCCCTATTTATGAGAATCCTATTAAATCGTATTAATTTTCAAATTTCGACGACAGAAGTGGATCGATTTAAAATAGTTCACTTTCCCCTAGCTTTCTTCCTTTTTTTATCTGGACAATAAATTCTTCGATAGTTGGTGGGCTTTTGTTATCAATATGCAAATATATTAAATCTAAAAATATATTAGCTGTAAAAAATTAATTGTACTTTTCTTTCTTTAACACGTATGGAAATAAGTATTTTCACGTGAGCCGAAGAAGTAAATTTTTTGTAATTATAAAACAATTTTTTTGAAGGAGGGAGCAAAACATTATCCGTGTTCATGGCACCATAATTCCGTAATTCCATTAGTTTTTGGGTTGGACGGGAGTCTTTCTAGAATCCACTCATTTTACGACAATCTTTAACTTTTGTTCTTTTGGTTGGGAGGGAGTCCATGTAGAATCTACTCAGTCTAGGACATACCTTAAACAATCCTCTTTTTGGCTTTGGTTGGGAGGGAGTCTGTTTAGACATGCCTTAAATAATCATTCTTTTGTTTTTGGATTGGGATTGCTCATACTAGGACATACCTGAAATAATCCTCCTTTTGTCTTTTGATTGGGAGGGTGTCTATCTAGATTGTCTTCCTTCTGTTCCTCCTTGTTGTGAGCATGGGTGTTAGTTGGCTAAACGTAAATGGTAAAGGAATAACTAATTTATTAATGATTGATAATCCTTAAAGCTGTAAGGTCCGCTGCATTCCTCGTCTTGTGTTTTAACTGGTTTTCAACAACTCTTAATATACAACTGCAAAATCTCATGTTTATAATTGAAGCGAAGTTACTTAATGAGTATCTTAGTGAGTGACTGTGAACTACAAAATCTCATGTTTATAATTGAAGCGAAGTTACTTAGTGAGCATGTGCACTGTGAGACCCCAATGATTGTTTTTTTTTTCTTCTTCAACACATGCAGACTTGAGAGTACAATCTTTTGAATGAAATATATGGAGATAACGAAGAGTATTCAAGCTCAAAAGCCTATTAAACAATACAAAATAGGAGGAGAGCAAACACGGACCTCCAAACATCAGAGGTGGGATCAGGTGCCATGGAGGAGTGAGCATCCCCTGCCGACCGGTCACACCCGCCGTGTGCTCCTTGTCATGATCGGGAAATAACGGAAAAATCTGTCGACGTTCAGTGTGTAAATAATGGCCTAACAATTAGTATGAAAAACGTCAATCAGCATTTGACTCAATAATAAATTGTAATTGCTGACAAGGTCATTGTATCGACCATAGAACTTACGAAATGATGACTTTAAACAAGACAGCTGATATTCTTGTTACATCAACTTGTTTGTCAATAATTTACCTCGTTTTAAAATTGTACATACGTAGAGCATGCTCTTGCGTATCGAATCAACTGAGAGATATATACCCCGTATTCAGGTGATGAATGTATATTGCTGCATAAGTAAGGGAAGTTGAAGATTGAAAAGTTAAAGTTATCAAGTTTATCATAAAACTTGGTTGTAAGAATACATTAAGGTCTTTTTCAAATAAAATATCCAAATATGAAACAGATGTGTCAGACTCTGCAGTGTATCTTTTATCTCAAACTCACCAGGATATATCGTATCGACATAAGAATGGAAATAGCCATTGTTAATTGACAATATGTCGTCGATATATCTAAATGTCGAGTTGAAGGCCACAGCAAGTGTTTTTTCTTTTCACGTACAAGATTTTGGACAAATTCTACTTCATAAGAATACAAAAAAATATCTGTTAATAACGGGGGCGCAATTGGTACCCATGGGAATTCCAACAGATTGTTGGAAGACCTGGTCTCCAAAAACCACATAGATATTGTCAATCAGAAACTCAAGCATATTTTTAATGTCAACTTCAGAGTACTTGTGTTTACAATCAGAATGTTTTTTAACAAAATAATTTTGCAAATTACCAATGACAAGGTAAGTAAATTTACGAGTTCCATTTTTATTAAAAAAGCAGCTGTCAATGATATAGAAAAGCCTGGACTTTAACTTATCGTGGGGAATGGTTGTGTATAAAGTTGAAAAGTCGTAGGTTTTAAACTGAAAGTGAGAAACTTTTACATTATAAATGAATAAGGATGATAAATGAAAAAAAAAATCTGAGAGAAAAAGATCGAACCATACAGTTTTTAATTTTTATAGATACACTTTCATTTCCGTTATTTATTCATCTTCATCTTAAAAAAATACTTACCATAAAAAACGAATGGTTTATTATATTGTGAAATGGCCCAATTAAAATGCACATTTGATTTAAAAATTATAATTATTTAAAATAGGAAGCATTAACAACTTCAAACTAACAATTAGAAAGACAATAAACAACTGTCTATCTCATACTCTCTGAGCTCTAGGTTACTTCAGCTGATTTTGAGAAGTATTGCTTAATAGAGTTTTCATTAGGAACTTCATGACTCATTTAAAAAAGTATATGCCTCGTCTTTTCATACATATTTGTCTTGCAGTAAAATATAAATAAATAAAAACAATAATAATAATAAATTTTCTATACAGTTTGACAGTTTTCAATTTTATTTCATTTACTATGAAATTTGTTCAGAACTGCGAACGATAGTATTGTTCTGCCGCCTACCTCCGAGAAAATTTCAAAACTTAACATATTTGAATGATTATTCAAATTTATATAGATATTTATGTGCATTTTCATAAAACATAACTTATCTAAGAAAACAAAGAGAGATAACTCTTAAATTTTGGTAAAAATTGCGTTTTTCCTATAGAAATCAACGGAAAACGGGAAAATATTTTTGAAACATCCCCCCCCCCCCCGTGAAACAAAATTTCCTTTTTATGGGTTTTATGTATCGTTTTTTTTTTTTCACAAATTCATACCAAAGCTTTTGTTGTTTCACGGGGGAGGGACATATGTTAACAGACAAAAAACTGCAAAAATGATCATTTTATTACCGATTTAAAATGAGACTACAAATAAAATATGGTCTTTTATCAATCTTTTATGTTGAATTTTACATAATTTAAACATATGGAAAGTTTTAAGGGTCATTTATCCATATCCGTACGTTTTTGAAAATATAGCGATTTTTAAAGCTTGATTTCAATGAATAAAGTCGCCCGCGTGGCGCAGTGGTTAGAGCGTCTGCTCTAGAGTCGCGAAGTAAGGAGTTGATCCTTACGTCGCGGGTACGAATCCCACTGTGGGACGTGGAGACCGGTCCTTCGGATGAGACCGTATAAACCGAGGTCCCGTGTCGCAGTAGGTGCTGGCACGAAAAAGATCCCTCACTGCTCAATGGCCGTAAGTGCCGAGTATAGGACAAAATTTGCAGCTCTCCACCGGCAAGTGGTGGCGTCTCCATATGAGTGAAAAATTCTCGAGAGGGACGTTAAACAAAATACAATTAATCAATCAATGAATAAAATTTTCAACCCCTCTTTTTGAAAAGAGTAGTAAATAAAAGCAATCAAGTTTTTTACACTGGTTTTAAAATTATTAATCAATTAATAATGAACTCATCTTTGCATTCAATCAAGTTTTAATGTCCAAACTGCCATTTATAGAAAATTAAATTGGTGTAAAATGTATGCGGGAATCGAGAGTTAGCGTGCGTGGTTCTTCAATCGTTTTTCAATGATTCTTTTGAATGCTGTCCAAAGATAATGTAAACAAGAGGCCCAAGGGCCTTAACGGTCACCTGAGTATAACACAACAATTTAGAGGATCCATAGAGTATAAGGTGAAGCTTTGTTGCCCAAAAGCAAGATAAAATAGGATGATCAGGATCAACAAAATAATTAGTCTAGTGTTCATTAACAGTACATAAATTAGGTTCTAATCTGTTCCCCATTTATCACTCTCACCAGACAGTATATAAACAAACTTATAATCAGTGCTTCTGTACTTTTTAATTCCTTGTTGAAATCTCTTGGCCTCTCTTGGTCTTTGATGAACATTTAATAAGACAAGTTATTTGTGTCTCATTTTTTATTTATCTGTTACTTACAAGTCTACCTGATCATTAAAACTATGAAAAAACTTTTTGTATTATACAATAAAAATTCTTGCATAATTCTCTTATTCTATTAACATTTCAAGTACATTATTTACAGTGATTTATTATCACCAGTAAATGGCAAAGGGAAATAACTCCTTTCAGTAGAGTACAAATTAATAGAGCTCTGGCCTGGACCAGAACACTTGATCAAAAGGTTCTAATGTTCAAAAATCTGGTAAAAATACCCTTCCTTTAGTTATTAAAACTTTTACTCTTTTTGCCTCTGATATGCCCAGGTGCAGAGAATATTTTTAAAGCATTAATGCATTTTCACTGTATAATAAATAGAGCCCCACCCTAATATCAGAACCTCTGATCCAGGGGTCATGAAATTCACAATTTTGGAAGAGGCATCCTTGCTTATCATAACCATGTATTTGTTTAAATAATACCCAGGAGAAGAGAAAAAGATTTTCAAAGAAATAATGCACTTTCACTATATGATCTATATTGCCCCGCCCTAGCACCAGAACCCCTGACCCTGGGGCTATGAATTTCACAATTTTGGTAGAGTCACCCTTGCTTATCATAACTATGTATTTAATTTGTTTAAATGATACCCAGGAGTAGAGAAGAAGATTTTCAAAGAAATAATACACTTTCACTATATGATCTATATAGCCCCGCCCTAGCATCAGAACCCCTGACCCTGGGGCTATGAATTTCACAATTTCGGTAGAGTCACTCTTGCTTATCATAACTATGTATTCAATTTGTTTCAGTAATACCCAGGAGAAGAGAAAAAGATTTTTTAAGAAATAATGCACTTTCACTATATGATCTATATAGTCCCACCCTAGCACCAGAACCCCTGACCCTGGGGTCATGAATTTCATAATTTTGGTAGAGTCACCCTTGCTTATCATAACTATGTATTCAATTTGTTTCAGTAATACCCAGGAGTAGAGAAAAAGATTTTTTAAGAAATAATGCACTTTCACTATATGATCTATATAGTCCCACCCTAGCACCAGAACCCCTGACCCTGGGGTCATGAATTTCACAATTTTGGTAGAGGGCTCCATGCTTATTACAATGATGCCAACAGTTTGACTGCTTGATGTCCAGGAGTAAAGAAGAAGATTTTTAAAGATTGCATTAATTTTGATGGTTTTGTCCCCACCCCTCAGGCCCGGGGGGGGGGGGGGCGCAGGGGCCACGAATTTCACAACTTGTGTTCCCCTTCACCCATAAATGCTATATGCCAAAATTGGTTGAAATTGGTTTGCTGGTTCCAGAGAAGAAACTGAAAATGTTCAAAAGTTTACGAACGACGGACGACGCCGGGCAAAAAGAGATAGCAATAGGTCACCTGAGTGACTCAGGTGACCTAAAAATCTAATAATAATAATGATTGATTCATAACTGCGGGCGTTAAAGTTTGCTATAACATAATTTTTCCAACTTTTTTTGAATTCGTGATGTGGGGGAAATGCTGTTATCTCCCGTAGTAATCAAATCGAGGTACTTCCTTACCTTCTTTACTCCACCTGGTAGATCTACTTTTTGACTTTCGGCTTCGTCTTCGTCATCAGAATTAAGTTCCTGAAGGGAGAAAAGAGAATTTTTGTTGAAAACTTGTAATTTTCCTCGTTAATCAATTATTAAGTCATTGCTTCTGTACTAAATAGGACTATGGATTACTTGTCTGCCTCATCAATACATGGGGCTGACGGTGGGTGTTGCTTGCTTGTCTTAGGTACCTGATCCCACCTTTCATGTTTCCAGGGGTCCGTGTGTTTCCTCTGTTCACGATTTGTTTTGTTTATTCGTCTCATGAGATTGATAAAAGTTCGTTATCTTCACCTTTTACATCCGAAACTTTTAGTTTATTTTCAAATATATACCTTAAAGCAGGCTTTTCTGCTATTTTATTTTTACAGATAAATTTAAAACAGGAGATATCTCTTATGCAAGTAGTGTACGCTTATTTACATGTCAAAAGGTTTTGTTTTTTTTTTAGAGAATCCAAAAATATGTGTGACCATAAATTCATTTTGTCATCTGACTGAATAAGAAAAAAAAAGACTAAATCACAAGTTAATGTTGATGGCTGTTAAACAAATATTATATCTGACAAAAAAAAAATTACCTTAATTCCAAATCAGTAATTTAGTGCAAAGGAAAGGGGTTAGGGCAGATTCCCACTCAATATTTGTCTAATTTATTTGTACAGTAAGGTTGGTGTTACTTAAAAGACTACTTATCCTGATAAGTGTTAATAAACTTTTATAACATCTCACCGATACGTTCAAAGAGTCATCTTCAGTTTCCTCTACAACGAAAAATAAATTTTATCCAAGGTAGTAAATTACATTTAAGGTCATCTGGAAAAAAATGTCTTCAGAATCTGAAAAGATAGAGCTCGATATCGACACGATAATTACAATTTCATAAAGTGATAGTATACAAGTAACTCACATGTTCAAAGGCCAGAGTAATTTTTTTTGGGGGGGGGTGACAAATCATGATACGATATCGTGACAGAAAGGAAAACTTCGTAAATAGAAAGCATTTTAATATATATGTATAAAGAAATGACGTAGCAAACTATAGAAAGGTAATCTGTCGATATCGTAACTGCATCGTCTCTTGGACATAACTCCGATATACAGTATGCATATCATCCACTTACCACGGACAAATGGTGTGATGTCTTCATCATCCTGTAATATATAGTTTTGCATAAAATTAATGCTATTATCACATAATAAGAACTATATATATGATAAATATGTCAAAGTTAATTGGCAGTCCTAACGACTTTTTTATGATTTTAACCCTGTTACTTCGAACTCTCGGATATCTCGATGCTTAATTTCGGTCCCGTCACACAACGATACGATACGATAGAGATCCCTCTCTGCTCAATGGCTTTGGGTGCCGAGTAAAGGTCAAAATTTGAAGCCCTTCACAGGTGTATGGTGACCTCTCTATATGAGTGAAAAATTCTCGAATGGGACGTAAAACAACATACAATCAATCAACAATCGGTCCCGTCGAGTTCGAGATAACCAGGTTTGACAGTACTTTGTCTTTATCCTCGCATCAATGGCAGTAAATGATTATTTACAATATATGCGTCTTTATCCTCGCATCAATGGCAGTAAATGATTATTTACAATATATGCACATTGTCGTATTTCATCCTGTACCATACACATGATACACTTATTAAAAACACGCATCTGGTGAAACAAATCCCACACAGTATAATCAGTCCGTTAAATTTTCTTGTTCATGCATGGATACATAGAGATTGTGTCATGAGGGTCAGGATCAGCCTACCCCCATCCTTGGAAGCTTAAAACTTAAGTTATAGTAAAGAAACCAAAACATGACCCTGAAGATACGCCCTCCCACTAGCAAAACCAGGACCAATCATGACCAAGAATGATGGGGATAGCCATACTAGAAATCGTCTAAGGAAAGCTACCCCCCCCCCCCTCTTCTCCCCACCAAGGATTGGAAAAGTTGTTCAGGGTTTTTTTTTTCTTCTGCTTTTTGAAAAAATTCAACGCCCTGATATATTCTGAGATGGAGTGGAAATCCCCTCCCTGGAAAAAAATCCTGGATCGGTGCATGATGTTACCGTCTCGAACGCAACCCCTCTCCTCCTTTACTAATTAACTAATTAACGAATAACCTTTGCGTTCCTCTCTCTGTAGTCTTTGAAAAACTCTTTAAGCGCATTTCGTAGCTCTGTAAAGGAATATAAAGTATATCAATTAATTATAAACAATTTTAACTATGCCTCGTTAACAAAAAACACATGAAAACCAAATAGATAAACCTCATGTAATCTAATCTAACCAAATCTAAAAAGATTTATAACATAATATGACATTTATTTATGATGGATTCGTGATTTTCTAAAAATTCAACAATCAATAATAGAATACCGTTTCAGACAACGGGAAGGAATTTCCTTCCTCTGTTGATTTTCAGGGTCCAATCGAAAATGGAATTAAGAGAGAGAAAAAATAGCATTTTACATGTGAATTTGAAAAGCAGGTCTCCTATTCTCTTAAATAGGGATCTTTCATTTACACAGGTTGACAGGTGGTTTTAACTATGAGTACTGACCATTTAAGACAGTACACCACAGGTATAGATCAAAATTTCCCAAAATTCATCGTTTTAAAACTTTGATGCTTAACTTTTTTTAAACGAGTTTAAATTATTTCACAGGATTACTATACTACTTTAAATTGGAAATGAATTCATGCTCTATATACGCCCTACACCTAACCTTATCTCCATTATACACTGAAACCCGTCAGACCTGTCCAACACCTTTGTACAGTTGTTAAATTTGCGAAGTGAGAGGTTGTTTTATACCTTCATGACTTTTATTTGAAAGCAAGGGGACTTTTTGTTGTATTTAAAAAGTTTGTGCTTGTATTTTCTAAATTCTTAATTCAGGCAAAAAAGCCGATTTTTGGTACTACATGTATAAGTAATCATGGGAAAAGATTTTGAGGTAGTTCAGTAAAATACAATTACCTGTTTATATTTAGTATAAGAAAGAAAGAAAATCACATTCGTCTCTATTAATTTCACTATTGTGTACACGTACATGTACCTTATAAAATTCTTATAAATTAGCTTGTTTTTCTAACCATATCAAATGGAATATATTCATATACATGTATGAAAGAAATCTTCAATAAAAATCTATGATTTTCGCCTATTAAATGTTCCCCATTTCTTGAATTCATCGCTTATTAATTGAAACCCAGAATATAACTAGTTAACATGTTGAGTTATTTTTCTTGTCTGGTATTTGTTATTTTCAAGACGAACTTGAACGTATGCGTTTTATTGAAAACAAAATATGCAATAAGAATATATTTCCTTCCTTTCAGAAAACGTTTTATTTGTTTTTTTCTGCGATTCATTGATACTGCTTGTCATGCGGTGAACTCAAAAACCGGCATGTTTGCAGAAGGAATATATGTACATGTATATTATTTGCATTCTCCAGTATTTTTACGAGGTTTTATTGCATCAAGCTAAATCAAATCTCAAATACACAGCTTATAAAATCATTTAAATGATACACGTGTGAATTAGTCAAGAGTACTTATATGCAATGCAGATATAACTCGTACAGTTTATATAGCTTTGAGAAATTTGAACTCTCCTTTGCTGTAGATTCTCAAGGTCAAATGAGGAAAACACGTCGGGTGCATATTTAATGAATATTTTAAGGAGGGCTCGTCCACATATGTTTAGTACGAAAAACAAAATCATTTATTCGAGGTAACACGTGACAAAGTTATACTGACCCATTACACTGAACATTAAAAATAAAAAGTATAATGCATGGTTAATAAATCCCCGTACATTAACCGTCTCTTCCTAATAATTTGGAAATATAAACCCGAAGGTACCCTGACACGGTGTCAAGGACATGCTAATATATACATATATTTATAGCTTAATTGCATTAAATTAAAAAAAAAACCCATTTAAATCCCCCTAGCGGTTGCATTTGTTTAAATTCCTAATTCCTAGATTTTAAAAGGAAATTATTTAATTGAAGTAAATGCCATGGCCGTAGAAAAAAAGGGGCAAATATTTAGCCAAACTGAATATAGAACGACAATGACGAAGTATAGAGCAGGGTAGATATACATCCTTTTTCCGTTGGTGTATCATATGTAACTTTTGGAATTTACTAGGGGGAGGTAAATGCAAAATTTACAATTTTGCATTATCCTCCACCTAGTAAACTCAAAATTTACAACACGATAGGTGAACAAATTGTTTTCCTACTTAACAAATACAAACTAATTGTTGTTACTGCGCCAGTCATTGTATGAGTGTCTTCAATTAAGAGAAAATGGAGGGAAAATAATAAGAAGAGAGTTATTCTTTTGATCATGATTACATTAAATCTTAACATATATTTCGGATACTTTTTATCCTATTTTAGGTTATGATATATTTATTTATGTATATTTCTCAATTTTTTAAAAGGTTAATCAATCAGAAGAAAAAAAAAATTTTAAGTGAAACTTAGCAAGAGCAAAATCGATTCCCTTCAAAAAAAAAATAACCTCTCATACCATAGCTCAATATTAATAATATAAATTCTCAGCTAGGCTATAAACATTTTGTTATATAAAATTGTACTTACGGTTCTTCGAGAAAGCTCGTCCTACGGAGAATTGTATAAAACTCACACAGATCAAAGACACGATTAACAACTTCATCTTTACAGCAGACAAAGGGGTTATGGAAAGTCGGACTGCAGGTAACTGGTTTATAGGGGGCTGGCCTTTTGACGTACCGCTTCAAGCTTCATTTATCCCAACTTTAACAATTTTAACAAAAAAAACCTCAAAGATTTACAAGGGTCATAACAATTATCCGAGTCATCATGACCATGCTGTTCTTCAGAAGATTCCTTTATGATATTTTCCTTCTATTTTTCGATGAAAATTTTTGATCTCATACTGTTTGTATCTTCGTTACTCCATATGGTCATGACCAATCAAGAATCCAAACTTTAGAGGAATTCTTAATATCGATATGATTAATATAGCACTGGTTATCTGAAAAAGTTTTTTTATTTCATTATATTTTCATACACATTAATTTTTACAGATCTCTACAATTCTTACAAGTGTATGAATACAGAACACTATTCAGGTGTATGCTCAGCTTCTAGACAATATCATAATTAAGCAATAATTTAGGTACTGTGTATCTTTTTAGTAGTTTAACGCGGTATTTAAAAAAACACCACCAAAAAAACCCTAAAATGAATTACCGGGCTTTGAAATGTTTTCTTTATTTGTTGTTTAACGTCCCTCTCAAGAATTTTTCACTCATATGGAGACACCACTAATTACCGGTGGAAGGCTATACTTGGCTCTCAAGGCCATTGAACATTGAGGGATCTTTTTCGTCCTCGTTTTATCCGAAGGACCGGTCTCCACGTATGGTTCCGCAGTGGAAACCACGAAATAAGATCAGCTCTTTACTCCGCGACTCTACAGCAGATGCTCTAACCAGTACTCCACAAGGGCGGAGACTTTGAATATGAGTGCATTTTCTCCACACGGAACGTATATACACAACATTAAATTTGAGAAGTAGCTGAAAAGGAAAAAAACTAAAAGCCCTAAAATTATTTGATTTGTAGGTAAGAACACCTCAAATCCGAACTCAACAATTTTTAAACCATAAAAATACTAGCAATTTAAAGTTTTTTTTTTTTTATTTATTCATTGTTTCATAAATATATATTTAGGTGTTAAAAATTATTTATTGGGACATCTTTTCAAAAGTAAACTAGTATTTTCTTACAGAAATAATGACTTCTATTTGTCTTGTCTTCGAAGTTTAACATTAAGGGGATTTATTTCACCTCGGCTGGTTGCTCTGTTTTGATAAACCTTCAAAGTTGAGATTTGGAGGGCAATGATTATGGAAGTCCTAATAACAAACATTGGTGCGTATACTTATATATTTTTAATGAGTAAGCAATAAAAATGAAATGTTTTTTAGCTATATACAAATGTAGTTCAACATTTTAATATTAAACTAAAATAAAATTCTAATTGTACTTCATGACTTGGCTATCATTTTTATCATCAAGTTAAAATATTATAATCATTTATTAGTCTGTGAACACTTTGAATAACAGAAGACTTGAGGGTGTTTTTAATGGTAAAAAGACAGAAAATGTGACTAAAGAGGAACAGTTCTTTCTCGAAATCGACATAAGTCATTTGGGGAAAATAGGCTTGAAATTGTCCGAATAAGCCGTAAATAAGTGAAAATTCATAACGAAGGGAAAGAACAATATTCGTAGAAAAAAGTTCAAGGGAGAATTTTTTGATCTTCAAATATTGATTAAAATGAAAAAATAAACAACAACAGTGTTAATTCTTATGTGTCTGATTTATTTAAAGGGCACGAGAAGGAAATATCCAGTCAGTCAGTCGGATGCCCTTAGTTATATAAATGTAGAGACTACTGATTATCTGTGTCAAAACGTTCAAGACATTGCGAAATGTAAACTATTTTGCATGCATGCATGCATAGCCGAGATCTAAAAATATTATCTGAACTAATCTTACTGGTGTCGTAGTTCTCAAGGGGCGGTGACCCGTGCTTGACTAGGTCAACTTAAAATGGGTAATGCAACACTGATCTAAATCGCCTTGCAGGCTTTATTTATTCTTTAAATATGGGATCTTTTTTTCACTTCTATTTTTGTTCTGTTTAATTTAACTTTTACAAAACACCTACACAAAAATTCAAAAGGAGGTCGGCTATTTTCTTCACAAAAACACTTTATCACTGTTTGTTATCTTTTTTATTATTTCATCCAAATGAATTTTTTTTTTCGTGTACAGAAGAAAATTGAGGTTTCCGATATTCGTATTTCTATATTCAGCATACCCTACATTATTTAAAACGCATTCAGTACGGGGTCGAAAGATGTTTAATATTTAAGAGCACAATAAAATCAGGATTTTGATATTCTACATGTTGTTTTAATTTAAACAAAGTAATAAATAATTGGATCAATGTTAAACATTTTTCCCCTATGATCTGATCGCTCGTTTGTTCCTACGGATGCCTGATTTTATCGGTATACCGGTACATAACGTTTTTTTTTTATTGCGTGATACGTAATACGTACATGTATCGTGAGACTAAAATACCGGTTTTTGGTACATAACTTTAAATTCCGAAAATTGTTCATTTAATTCTTTAAACTATTGAATGACAATTACAGGAAGTGTAAAAAAAAATGTTGAAAACAGTGAAACAACGGCATCTAAACATGCTTTATATTAAACAAACACAAACTTTAAAAAAAGTAAAGTTATGTTTTTATAAGTACACGAGTAACCGGTTACTAAAAATCGTCCGATATGACAACATTTATTAAACACATATATTTTCAATGATTATTATATCAAATTTCTTTTAGTTTAACATATACATATTACTTATAGAGTGTTAAGCATGTAGAAATTTGCATGACTAAAAAAGGGAAGAAGTCAAAATACTAAAACTTACTTATAGTGTAAATCATTAGCAAAAAAAAGATGTTTGTAAACACTTATCCCCCTCCCTTGAACATACATTATTATGGTTTACTCAATCGTACCCAAAACAGAACTTGGCCTAGATATTTTTTATGATAAATCAGTATACCAAATTTCATTTCAGTATGTGCAACCCCTGCGATGAAAATGAACGGAAACTGCAAATAACTGGAATTTTTCTAGGTCCAAGGGGCATAACTCTGTCAAAAATTGCTCGATCGTACCCAAAACTTAACTTGACCTAGATATTCTTATTAAAAACCTGTATACTAAGTTTCATTTCAGTGCGTGCAACCTCTGCGAAGAAAATGAACGGAAAACTGACAGACAGCAGCAAAGCAATATTCCCTCCCTTCTTCGAAGCGGAGGATAATAAATCTCATCAAATTATTCCATAGTTGTTAGATGCATACACCCTGTGTTCTTATTATACCTTTATATACTTTGATATTAATAATCTTATATTTTGTTTAAAGCAGCTGAAAGTAATGAATAAGGTAACGTACATTTTTTAGGCTAAATTTTACGATAAAATTACGTAACTTTAAAATGTCACAATTAAAAAAAAAACAATTCTTGTTGGAAAGAAAACGCATTTGTAATGTTGAATTATTGATTGAATATTGTTTTACCCGAGAATATTTCACTCATATTGTGACATAACCATATACCGGTGAAGGGCTTTTAATTTAGACCTTTACTCCTACGGAGAATTGTATAAAACTCATACAGATCAAAGACACGAATAACAACTTCATCTTTACAGCAGACAAAGGGGTTATGGAAAGTCGGACTGCAGGTAACTGGTTTATAGGGGGCTGGCCTTTTGACGTACCGCTTCAAGCTTCATTTATCCCAACTTTAACAATTTTAACAAAAAAAAACCCCAAAGATTTACAAGGGTCATAACAATTATCCGAGTCATCATGACCATGCTGTTCTTCACAAGATTTCTTTATGATATTTTCCTTCTATTTTTCGATGAAAATTTTGACCTCATACTGTTTGTATCTTCGTTACTCCATATGGTCATGACCAATCAAGAATCCAAACTTTAGAGGAATTCTTAATATCGATATGATTAATATAGCACTGGTTATCTGAAAAAAAAAATTTCATTATATTTTCATACACATTAATTTTTACAGATCTCTGCAATTCTTACAAGTGTATGAATACAGAACACTATTCAGGTGTATGCTCAGCTTCTAGACAATATCATAATTAAGCGTAGCAATAATTTAGGTACTGTGTATCTTATTAGTAGTTAACGCGGTATTAAAAAAAACCACCACATAAAAACCCTAAAATGAATTACCGGGCTTTGAATATGTTTTCTTTGTTTATTTGTTGTTTAACGTCCCTCTCAAGAATTTTTCACTCATATGGAGACACCACTAATTACCGGTGGAGGGCTGCAAATTTATACCTATACTTGGCTCTCAAGGCAATTGAGCAATGAGAGATCTTTTTCGTCCTAGCACCTAATGCGACACTGGACCTCGTTTTATCCGAAGGACCGGTCTCCATGTATGGTCCCGCAGTGGAAACCACGACATAAGATCAGCTCTTTACTCCGCGACTCTACAGCAGATGTTCTATCCACTACTCCACACGGGCGGCGACTTTGAAAATGAGTGCATTTTCTCCACACGGAACGTATATGTATATAACATTAAATTTGAGAAGTAGCTGAAAAAGAAAATAAAACCAAAAGCCCTAAAATAATTTGTTTTGTAGGTACTAAGAACACCTCAAATCCGAACCTCAACAATTTTTACACCATAAAAATACTAGCAATTTAAAATTTATTATTTTTATTTATTTATTCATTATTTCATAAATATATATTTAGGTGTTAAAAATGATTTATTGGGACATCTTTTCAAAAGTTAATTATTTTCTTACAGAAATAATGACTTCTATTTGTCTTGGCTTCGAAGTTTAACTTTAAGGGGATTTATTTCACCTCGGCTGGTTGCTCTGTTTTGATAAACCTTCAAAGTTGAGATTTAGATTGCAATAATTATGGACGTCCTAATAACAAACATTGGTCCGTATACTTATATATTTTTAATGAGTAAGCAATAAAATGAAATGTTTTTTAGCTATATACAAATGTAGTTCAACATTTTAATATTAAA